CTTTGTTTAAAAAATTAACGGTTTTCAAAATTTCAAATTTTTAAACGTTTTCCAAAAATTCAAAAACTTGATCGACTTTCAAAAATTCAAAATACTCATCTTCTAAGAGTTTTTGAATTTTATAAGTTCTAACGGCTTTCGAAAATTCAAAAAATTAACACAATGTTAAAGCATAAAAGTCACCCAAAATGTTAACATCATATTGCACCTTTTACATAAAAATGCTCCAAAAATCCTTTTGCCAAACTTCAACTCACTTACGAAGCAGTTTTTCTTCTCCGTTCCCACACTTCTCGAAGCACAATACAAACGAAAACGAGAAGTGAAAAGAATTGTAAAAGAAAGCAGAAATAAAAATAACACAAAAAAACTCAAACAACAAAAATTGTCTAGAATTATTTTGTTCGAGATATTTTTATGAGAGAAGGAAGAAATAAAATAAAATGAAATATAAAATAAGAGAACAAAATTTTTATTTATGTGTGATTTATTAGAAACTTGAAAAGCGATTTCGATTCACATGATCCTATGAATAGCGACAGAGTTTGCAGTTTTTCTTTTCTTTTCAATGTCAGAAGATGAATGGAAACTACACTTCTTTGTCAAATTTTTGCATTCACTAAAATGATGCGTATCATTATAGATTAATGGTAAGGGGGATAATTTTTCTATGCGATTTTTTGTACTTGAATAGATCACCTGAATATTGGTAGTAAAATTTTTTTTATTATGTGTGGTTTGGCTTTTGGGTTTTGGAGTGGATTTTTAAATTAATTTTTTTTTTATCAAGTGAAGTGCTTTGAAACGGTCCAAGCTAATTTAAATTTTGTAATTGTGAGAGCATCCAAGTAGAAAACTTCAAATTTAACAAATTTTGAATTTTTAACAATTTTGCAAAAACTTCAACAATCTTAACAACATCCGTCCAACCATTCACAATCACTTAAACAACCTGATATCACAGATTTTTATAAGAAAATGATTCATTCCGAAATCATAAACAACAACAATGATTCCGATACGCAGAATAAATCTCGTCAAGAATTTTTCAAAAGAAAAATCAAAATAATTTCTTTATGAATCACATTCGATGAACGTAGGCAGCATAATGCATGAATAATGCACATGACGCACATAAAATGTCATTTATTCTGAAAATTTCCGGTGCCACAAAAGAAGAATGCATTCAGCAAATAAAAATGCATTTATTATGTTTAAAGAATGGCAACATGTGTTGTGCATGAAACTCAGCATAGCTATGATGTGCGTGTGAATTTATCTCAGGTGTTTCAACATCTCTTATGCTTTATTTTTTGTGTGTGCGATTCTGGTAAGTGAGTCATTATGCAGATCATTTGTAATTTATAGCATTTCACAGTACAATTCATTTGCGGGATGGCAATAAAATGTTCTCAGGATAGTAAGTTTCATGGTAATCAAGCGTGAGCTGAAAATGAAATAATATAAATAACATACACATTAGATATGTTTTAATTCAGTGGAAAAAGTGCTGCTTCATCAAAGTTAATCACCAAACGGCTTTTTTTCCTCATTCCATCTCATTCATCCTTCCCCTTTTCCTCTACATATCTCCCATGATTGTATTTTGTATAATCATTCATAAGCATCATCATTGGAGCTCGCTAATAGTAGCTAACATATTTTTTTTATTCTGATTCATCAATGTGCATGCGGAGAGTAAGATACATGGCATTATGTATGAAGATCCTAGCATACATAAAAGGGCTGAATAAAAGAAAGAAAACATAATAAAAATAAGAGGCAATGTGAAGATGAAAAAGGCCAGGTGCTAGTCGAATGCGATTATTGCTTATAAGCATAACATCATCATCTTCTTATGTATCTATTCTCCGTTGTTTTTTCTCCTTTCCTTCTCACCTTAAAGGGTTCTTTCCTTTCGACTTTCCAAAATTACTTCCTATATGTAGATTCTATATCAAAAATTTATTTATGCTTAAAAGTATATAGGAAACCCTTTTCCTCATTCTCTCATACTTCTGCTTATGCTTTAAGTTGTTTTCTTAATATTCCTTTTTTTTTATTTTTATGTATTAAGATATACTTTAGCTGTGCAATTTTCAGCAAATTTTTCATTCATCTCCTTCCTTTTGTTTCGTTCTTAAAATTTAATATTTCTCGAGGGCTTGACACGAAAATTTCATAGGTAATTTATTTATTTCTTTAAGTATTTATAGATTGATTGTTTCTCATATTTCATGATTTGAAAATTATAGCAAAATATTTTTATTAAAATGGTTGAGTTTGGAATGAAATTGCAATAGGTCCATAGAAGGAAGAAGTATTTTTATGTAGCTATAACTTTACCATCTTTTTCAAGAAACATCAAAAATTTAACAACTTATTCGAATTTAAATATTTTACTATTGAGCGCGTTCAGCAAAAATATTATTTGTTTACAAATTAAGATTTGAAAATTGTTTTATATTAAATAAATCTCTAGACTTTAAGCTATCTTCCAAAGATGACAAAGAAAGAAGCTTTTCTTGACAAGTAAATTAAAATTTTGATACATTAAGAAAGCTTTAATTTGAAAGTAATTCGCAGTATTTCACCAAATATTGCAAATAATTCAAGATAAGAGCAGAATTTGCATCAACTATAGCTAACCTACTCTTCATTGGCTACCTTAAATTCTTCATAAATAGATTCTCTGTAACCAGAACCACAACAGAGTCCTTACAGTAATAAAAACCTTAAACATTTCGCAAAATTCTTTTTTAACAACTAAACTTATAGTCGTAAATTTAAGCCTTCCATTCTCTCAAACAATAGTTTTCGCACACTTTTAACACTAAATTCCTATACGGGATAGTGCAAAGATCTCGTTACGGTACATATAATCATAGAACAGACAATTTTTTGCTTCAATTTTAACGACTATGCTCAACCCTTTTTTTTTATTATTTATTTATTTCAAATTTTACATAGTCATTCCATCAAAAAGACAGACTGAATTCCTTGAGACTTTTTGTTTTTATTTCCCTTACTTTTATTTCTTTGATGAGAAGAAGACACAACAGATTTTGAGATGAGAAATATATCGGTAAATCATTTTATGCCTCTTAACCCCTTTCATTTGGTTCCTTATTCTCATTTCTTATTTTGATATAATGCATCATTGTTGTTGTTGTTGAATAAGCTTCTCATACTGTCGAGATTTCTATAATAAAATATGCATAAGACACAAATTTATCTAATTAGTGATGCCAAATGAAGTTTGTTACTATCTAAGCAGGAATGAATTATTATAATAATAGTAAGAGAGTATCAAAAATCATCCAGCATCCATCTATTATATGTTACGTGTGTGAATATCATTAAAGCATAATGAGGAAATATTTTTTTATAATATAAATATAAATAAAAATAAAATGTATATGCATAAATATACAAACAGATGAAAAGAATGAATTAAAATAAAATTTGAGAATATTTTAAGCAAAAAAAGAAGAAAAATAGTTCTTAAGAGATTGAAAATGTTAATGACCCATGCTATTTATTTCTATTTTTCTTTTTATATATTTCAACTTATGAAGCTAGATAGATTCATTGGCATATAGACCTAGATATGTAAGAATAATTGAACTTAACGGGGATTCTTCTTTGGATATGTCAAGGTGCTTGATGGAATTGGTGATTTAAAGATGTTTGAGAATGATAGACATTAGGGATCAATGTCTCATTGTATTTATTCAAATTTATGACTATTTATTTCTAATAGATAGCTACAGTCGTTAGAATCTTAATTGTCTTTCTCAGTATTTTACGTTATGGGAAAGCAAAAATGCATATAGTGACCCTTGAAAAGGATACAAGCACCTACAAGATATAGCTTTACACCTTCAAACCTAATTTTACAACATCAACAGTTATTCTATCCGTTGATTAATGAGATTCAAGCCAAAATCTCAAAGAATGTAAACAATTAATGAATGAAATTATTTCAGGAAGTTCCATCAATTCTTAACCGTTAAATAACAACTCAATTGTAGTTAATGATGACACTTGGAGTTCATCTCCTATACTATCTCTAATTGTTAACTGCTCCACTTGATTGAACTCACGATTTTCACTTGATTAGTGTATTACAATTTAAATTTAAAATGCTTTTAAATTGTGGTAGGAAAGATGCTTATGATAGAATTAATAATTATTCATCATTGTAATCATAAACGCATGAATTAAATTCTGAATGTTTTATTATATTCACATAAACAATTGAGAGAAATTTTTCCGGTGAATAGAGTGAAAAGAAAAATTATGAAATTTGTTCTATTCTTTTAGTAATAAGCAACAAAGCATATCAAGTAAAGTTCATTTCGTGTCGAAATGTAGATTAGAACTTTATGGGTTGAGTAGAGGTTCCAGTGGATTTGGATTTTGTAAATTGAACAAATTTAAAAATTTATGAATCAATTTAAACTTTTGTTCAATTTTTGAACTATTTAATCAATTTTTGAACCTGTCTTGATTATTAAGCGAATGTTGAGTTCAAATATTGAATTTAAGACATAATTATTGAACATTTTAAAGAAAATTTGATTTCTGAACTTTCAAATGCGAACTAGAATCTCTAATATAAAGAATTATTCTCAGTCTTCCAACACAAAACGCCATTTTCCCTGCAAAATTCCTCATAATTAATGCATAAAATTTTTCATAATCTCATTTTCCGTTTTGCTAATTAAAAACAGCAGAAAATAAATAAAGCAATCAGACATAAGAACATGGATGTTGAACCCGAATAAGAAAATTCTTTTCACATTCTTAATGGTCAAATTATTATTTTAAGAATGGAAATGAGATGATGGGAAAAATGTAAAGAATCAATTTTTCACACAAATGAGAGCTTAGAATACTTTATAAATATTAATTGTACACAGAGTTCAACTTTTCAGTTCATTTTTGTGTTTCAATCAATCAAGTGCTTCTTAGAAAATATTCTTAGGTCAATAGCAATGATCCTGTGGAATTTATTTGTGTTTATTGTGGTTTTTAATTTCATTATTTGCAATATTTTTTGTGAGGATATTGAGAATGACTTTAATGAGCTGCCTGAGAAAGACTTAAATGAATTACCTGAAAATAACGTGAGTGAGGAAATGGTCGAAGAAGAAAATTCAAGAAATTATGTCCTAGACTCAGTTTATGATACATTAAGGCAAAACTATGAGATGAAATTGCAGCAGAATGTTCAGAAATTGAACATGATAAGCGATATAAGGAATAAACGTAATACAAATGATCCAATGACTAACGTGAATTATCAAGATTATTACAAGAATCATCAACTTGATTTTAATCGAAAAAATGCCTTGACATTCCCATTAGGCTTTAAACATACACCGAAAGTGATACCAATAGCAAATCCAGGTCCGCCACTTCATAGATCAGATTATTATGATGAAGATTATGGGTTAGTGCTGTGAATGTTTTTTGTGTCCAATAAATTATATAAACGAGTTAATTTTCATTTAGATATCAGTTCCATAAATGTCAAGAGAAGCCGGCTGTTCAAACATTTCACATTTCCGATCAGGATCATGAACACAAACAACATCCATCAATATCAATGGTTCTGTTGACGGGTCTAAAGTATCTTTTTGGTGGTTTTGCAATACTTGCATTGCCATTCATTGTACTTAAAGCAATATTTCTTCCCATCAAATTCTTCTTCTTCTTCAAAGCCCTCGCATTACTCAAAACCTTTTTAATGATGACTGTATTCATGCGATTTTTACGATACAATCGACGATTTCAAAACTTCCCAAATAGACCAAATAACAGACCAAATAGACCGAATTTTCCTCTGTTTCCCGGAAGATACAAAACCAAATTGCAGACAATCAAAGATATCCTAAATAGTCAAGAAATGGTTGATTTAGATGTTGATGGTGAGGTAGATGATGATTATCGGACCGAAGAAGAACCTTTATCGAAGGAAAATGCAAGTGCACCGATGTATCTTAATAATCCATTTAATTCGTCCGACATTTCAGCTGAATTTTTGGAAAATTTGGAAAAGCTAATAAAGTTGAAAGGAAAGAAGTGGTGAACAAAAGTTTTTGAGTTTTATTTTATTTTTTGTGCCTCATGAATTGATTTGCTATTAATTATGGTAATGATTTGTGGCAATTTCAGTTTAATTCAGTGAATCAAACTTGAATAATTCTCGTAAATCTCATTTTTTGAGTTTTCAAGTGTGATTTTTTGGAGTTTGGCTAGCTTTAAACTAACTTTTAAACTCCAATTTCCAATATTAGTTGAACTATAGCTTTTTAAGTCTTAAATGTTTCTTAAAGAGTTTAAAAAGTATCTTAAAGAATGTTAAACTATAAAGATCGTGAAATATGAACACAAATCTCTAGCTAGCAACAAGAGTAAGTTCCTGAAACATTCTAAAATCCTGTAAATATCTTTTAATTTATTATTGTAAGTAAAGAAAAGTCAAAAAGTATTTTTTTAAATTATTGTGTTTAAACAATTTATTTTCTCATTTTTTTCATTAATAAATTTTTCATCATTTTGTTCAATAAATTTTTTTTTTCCATACAATTTTTCTTTGAATACTCTTTTTGCCCATCTTACTTGACTAACAAAACAGATAATAATGACATTATTAAAGTATCTTGATTTTTTTTTTGGAAATACATCAAATTTTTTTGTATTTTTTTTTATAATATTTACAATAAAATGAACTTATTTATGTAATGTCTTTTTCTGTATATGTCTGTGTATGTGATGTATGTTGATATATATAATTTAGTAGAATAAGCAAATTGGATCTCAATTTCATTTCTACGTTTTTTTGTTCTTCTTTAAATCTAACTACTTAATTATCTAGTAATTGGAGAAGATTCTTTTGGAATTTTCTTCATCTTCTTGATTCACAGGGGGGAAGGAATGCAAAATAAAAACGGAATTGAAATCAAAAATTTTGTTTGAGTGTTAAATTATATTTCTGTGTAAGAATTGCTCCGTATACACGCTCGTAAATGAATGGATAAACGAATTGCTTATGTGATACTTAACAGTTTTAATTGCAATTTTTTTACTTTTTTCTTATTCATTTTTCTTTTTTTAAATTACATGAAAAAAATCCTAAAGATAAACTTTTTTTACTTTAAATTTTTTTTTATTCGCTGAGCAAATTTTTTTATGCCAAATATTCAATTTTTTAATGATATCCAATTTTTTATGATTATATTTTTCTTGTACACACTCAAAATACAATTATACAATTATTATATAGGTTTTTTTTTCAATATTAGCTTTGCTTTCTCTCGAAATATTATTTTTTTTAAATTTCTAATGATTTGTTTTTCTCTTCATTACTTAATAATATGGCCAATCCATCAATCCTTGATCAATCTTTATTCTTTCTTGTCGTAGTTTATCTGAAATGTATGAGTTTCCTGTACCCAAACAGTTTGTGGGACATTCTCTTTGTTTGTTTGAGGTGATATGAAATTAAATTCCTTCATTTGTTCATAATTGATATGTAAAGCAAACTAATATTAATTTATAAATCTGTGATATGGTAACGTTCTGCTCTAATAGTAAAGTATTGCATTGCCTTTGGATCAATATGTAAATTTTCAGCATGATTTTCGGTCAAAACTTAAGTTTCTTGTGCCTTTGATTAAAGGTTTCTCTGACAAATTTGAAATTTAACGGTTAAATATTTTTAAATGTTCACAATTATACCAATTTCAGCTAACATCAAGTCTCTCAAAATTTTGAATTTATCAAAAACCTTTGAATTTTTTCTAATTTGTTCTAATTTGTAGCCAGGTCTTGTAATTTTGAATTTTTGAAAACCGTTAAATTTTAAATAAGCAAAACTTCCTCAATTTTGACCAATGAATTTTAAATCAAATGCCATTCGGTGAGAACTTCGGTAATGATTTTTTACTAATTTTGAATTCAAATAAATGCTTTATTCTCAAAAAAAAATATCACAAAATAAGGAGAAAACGCAAATAAAATCATTTTGGAATTTTAAAAGTTTCAATTTTTCATCATTTTGCATGAAATTAAATTTTTTCTACTAATTCTATTGATTTTCTTTTATACTAGATTTTTTAATTATTGACAAAATCATCAGCAATCACATTTCAGGAAGTTTTTCATAGAAAATTCCGTTAAATAACAATATTTGAAATATATTTCGTGAAAATGAGTTTTTCAAATATAAAATGTCCGTTACTTTTTTTGATATATGATTCTGTCACTTAAAAATTCTTTATTGTTTCCATTTTCTTGCCTTTTTAGTACTCTGCTTATTCAATAATTAAACTACAAAATTAGAGACAATTAAAGAAAATATTTTGGAAGTCTCTTTTATAAAAAAAAATATAATTAAAAAGACAAAGATTTGGTAACCAAAATTTTACAAGTTTTTGCTCATTGGCAACTTAATTGGTCGTTTTTGGGGGTCCATCAATTATTATGTCTAACTTTGAATGGAATAGGGGGTTCTTTAATAGAAATAATTGGGGAAGATGTTAAGTAGAGGAGAAAATATCAAATATTATAACAGACATCATTAATGAACGAACCCCAAAGTGAAAAAAATTAAACAAAAAAAATTAACGAAAACAATTATTTTTCATCGTATAAAAAAACTATCCTTATGAATGAATTGGAAGCATTTATAAAAATGGCAGCAAGAGAGATACAAGTAAAAAATATAAAAACTTAAAGCATAAAAATGGTTGAAAAAAAAAACAATTTTTTATCATTATTAATTTTTAATTTTAACAAAAAGATTCATTGGAATTAATAACAATCATCTTGAGGAGAAAATCACGTTTCGTTTATATTTTTATACGAGGTAGCTATATCAGAGAGTATATATCATTGTTTAGTAACATTAGTTTGTCGATGCCCTTTTTCAACGTCAAATATTTTTACACAAAATGTGACAAGAGCAAAAAAAAATATTTCCACTGATTAAACATTAAGGAAGGTAGGGAGACACTTTTGCTCTATTTGTTTCATGAACCAAATAAACAACACAAGAATGAGCAGGAAGAGATGGGAAATTAATTATGAATCTGAATACAAAACCGTTACTTTAATTCTCCATTGTCTTCACCGACTTCCAATTTTTCAATCAGAAAAAGGTATTTGTTTAAGGATGTAGCCAGGAAGGTCGTTCGACTGGAAACCTTTAGTTGCAAATTTAAAAAATACTAGCTACATCCCTGACATATTCACATCAAATATGTTTTTGTGCCTACCTATCCAGGAGACAAATTCCTTCTCTTTTTTGCTCAAAATAAGACGAAAAAAATAAATTTAATTTGAACTTAATGGAAAAAAATTTTGACATCTTTTACACTTTTTATTTCATTTTTTTTTTCAATAGAAAAAATTATCTTCAAATATTTTTTTACTTCTATAAATAAATTCAATCATGCTTATTCTGGATTTGAAGTTTTTTAGGTACATTTATTTATTTTTTTGTTATATAAATCTTTTATATTTTTTTTTCTTATTTCTTTTCCTTTGCGTCCATTTGATGTGCATGAATGTACGTTCTTATGTATTTTGTGCTTGTGTGTATTGATGTGTGTATATAAATAGAGTAAAGAAATCTCTCTAAGGATAATATAAAGCAATTGCCATTTTTTTTATAAAGTATAACATAAAAAAAAATATTTTTTTTTAAAAAATAGGAAATTTTGAGCAAAAATGAAATGTGTGCTAATGAGAGGAAAATCGATCATTTTTTCCTTTTCAGTGAACTTTTCATTCTTTTTTTAAATCACGATTAAACCACCACATCATTTCACTCAATCTCTTTAGTAGCTTTTGCTGGTCTTTTTTAGGCGCACTTTTGTTTCTGCAAGATTTGTACTCATATTTTAATGTCTGTTTGTGCTTAAAGAATTTTGAATTTAATGGATTGTAAAATATTGTTGAGTCGTAAAATTTTGAGATTTTGTTACTTTTTCACTGTTGAGTTTTTCACGAAAATCAATTTTTTTCAACAATTTCTTCAAAATTACTCGTTTTTAACCTTCTGTAAAATTTCAGATTTTACAAAACCGTTAAATTTTAAATTTTACAAAATCGTTAAATTTTGAATTTTACAAAACCGATAAACTGTTGAACTTTAATAAACGTCAATTATTCAAATCTCAAAAATTTGTTAAATTTTGCCAATTTTTCAAAGAACCTTGAAGAAGCAAATGTGCGCCAAATTTCATCAATTTTATGTGTCTTCCGTACTTATTCTCTTATATTTTGTGTAAATATTGATTCGATAAACTTTTTTCTTTTTTTTTGAGGTAGATATTTTTTATGTGTTAACAATCAGATACAGTTCCTTTCTTTTATATATTTTTTTCTCATTTTCGAGTTCATCATTTTGTTAAGAACGAATTATGTAAGTAGATTAGACTTTTTTAAATCACTTTATTATTATTCATTTGTTTCATTACTTTTTTTTGAGGTAGTATAATACTTTGGTAACTTCACGTTCACTTTTTTTGCTGTGGTTTTTAGTCCAAAAAAAATTAAACTTAAATTATTATAAAAACATTTTTTTAGTCAGATGCATGCATAGAGTCGTTAGAGTCGGGAAGTAAGCTAAGCGATGAGAGTCTCTTCTTACCATTTTTAGGTTTCTTACTGCCATTACCCTTCTTTTTCGTATGTGTCTCTGTATGCTTCACCATATGATCCTTACGTATAAAACCTTTCCCACAAAGTTCACAAGTATATGGCTTGCTTCCACTGTGAAGGCACATATGACGTCGTAGATCCGTCTTATGATTAAATGCCTTTGGACATTGGACACATTTAAATGGTTTGTCGCCATCGTGTTTAGCGACATGCTCCTCGTGAGAAGCATCACATGGGAATCGTTTACCACATCGATGGCACTTGAATGGCTTTTCCCCAACATGGAATGTCTTATTGTGTTGTGTTAAGTAACACGATTTATTGAACACTTTATCACATATATCACAACGAAATTCACTTATTGATGATGTTGCTACTGCTGATGCCACAGATCGCTTACTGACTTTTGACGATGACTTATCCATCGACGATATGTTGGATGATGTTGATAAGATTGTCATTTGGATATGTCCCGTTGATGATATGCTAGGCGATGAGGGTGCCATTGCACTTTGTGGCATCATTTCATCCTCATATGACATGCTTGTTCCCGTTGTTGTACCAGTCACCATTTGTTGATATTGATCAGGCATGTCTGGCGAAAATGGTGGAGGCATATCTCCTGTATATGCAACACCTCCTGTATAACGTGACACAATTTGATCATACGATGTCATATAATGACCAGGATGTGGATGTATTGATGGAAGTGGTTGTAAGATTGAATATTGATCATCATTTAGATCTTCATCATTTGAGTCATTGATTGAAAGATGTTGAGAGTCATGAGATGTTCGTAAATTACCAATAGTATTGTGATAATTCAGTTCCTCCGTGGTGGTGATTATGCGGTAATCCGAGGGGATGTTGGTGTTGGTATCCAAATGCTGATATTGCTGCGGATCCGTTAAATTGTTGATGCTGTTGGTGACTGGCGATTGCATGATGGTGGACTGCGGTTGGGTGGAGCTGATGATGGTGGAAATATGTTCCATGAGCTGGGGCTCCTGTTGCTGAAGGTGATGGTGTGCCTGGTGATGGTCCATTGATAAGTTGCTGTTGCTCAACAATTGCAGGCCCCTCAATTGGGAGGCAACTTGTAGTGAGGAGCCTTTTTTTTGTGCGCGGAAACACACGACAAACAAAATAATAGGGAAAAATTAATAAAATGAAAATAAATCTCTTACTTTACTTTACTCGAATGAAACTCAAAAGAAATAACTCAAAATGCAAACTATAAAGTCTAAAGTAACTAAAGATATTCTACTTGCTTTCTATTTTCCTTTTTTGAGATTTTCAAAATTTTTGAAAAAATTAACGGAAAATTTTTCATTCAAAAAAGTTTAAAAAAAATTCAAAAATGAAAAGAAAAAAAATCAGGAACTAAAGGAACCGCGCGCGCTTTGTCATGTAAATGATAAACTTAATAATTTCCGCTAATTTTTCGTAATGTCTCTTTTTTGTGCCTCCCAATATCAAGGGAATTGTGTATATAGATATGAAACTAAGGATCAAGGAAGCGCTAAAAAATTAGTCAGTCACACAAGCCCACACACAAAATTTAAATTAATTAATGAATTTCAAAAATTCAGAATTAAAATCACTTTCACTTTCACAATTATTCAATTTTTGAACACTTCCATTGAAACTGATAAGATTCTCACCTGCTTGCCCGTTTCCCGATGCATTGTGGATGTTTGCTGAACCACTGTATTGTTGGAAACCCTGTTGAAGTGCTGATGAGCCGAATGATGGCAGTGAAAATTGTGGCTGATAGTCAGGACTACGTGTTGAATTCTCAGCCGGAATTGTTTGTTGCTGCAATGTCGTTTGTTGATTCACTGATGTCGTTACTTGATTATTAGCTTGATTTTGTGTTTGCTGTTGGGCTTGTTGTTGTGCCTGTTGTGCTTGTTGTGCTTGCTGATTCCTTTGATGATGTGATCTTCTTTTCCCCATATAATTTGGATCTCTATTTGGATGATGATGAGCACTAATCGGTAATGTCGCTGGGTCTGGTTGACCACTTGATTTAACAGCATTTTTATGGAGTGTCGTATTATAATGACGTTTTAGGTGTCCTGAACTTGTGAACCATTTATTACATGCCGTGCAATTGTATGTTTTTGGTCGTCGAGCTTCATTTGATTTCCATCCCGTACTTTTTGTACCTACTGGATGTGTCGATGATGGAGGCTCAAAATTTCTTTGAAATTGTCCACCATTTTCCTGTGGTGTTGTTGTACTTGGAAAGTCTGACGGTGAAGTCGTCAATTGATTACCTGTATCTGCAATTTCTGGAGTAAAATTCTTTGAAATTGTCGATGCAGGCGGTAAAGAATTGCTTTGATTAACTGCATTTCCAGAATTATATTCCGATGACTTAATATACTCTTGCTTCATTGAAACCGGCGTTGGTGGTAAAATTGGTGAGTAGCCATCAATTGGCGCTTTCATATGACTCGCTGTATTAATCGGAGGTGTTGGTGGATATTCAGGTTTAATTGTCTGATGATAAGCGCCTGGATGTGGTGGTATAAAATGTGCATCAGGATGACCCCAAATCATTTGATGCCTTTGCATTGATTGTAATGGATGTAGTGAATGCATTGGTGGTAGTACGCCATCAGGATGTGGTGGATATACCATTTTTTGTGAATCGAGATCGAGTATATCAGATGATGGTTCTTCCTTTACATTATAATGATGATGATGATGATGTTGATGTGCAAATGGTGGATAATTCTGCTCAATATTCTCCGTCTTAATATGTCCAATGCCATTTCCATTTACAATATGTCCATCGGAATGAGAATGTGCAACTTGACTATGTTCAATTAATTGTCCATCTGTTTCACATACAACGCCGCACTTATCACATTGTTTTGGTGATGGGGAAGGAGTCGGTTGACCAGGTGGAATATGTAGCAGTGCATTACTATTTTGTGATGGTGATGCACTTGTGTGTGTCGGTGATGTTGACGATACAACGCGTGGACTCAATCCATTATTATTGATTTGTACTGAAGAGTTTGTGGTTGGGACTTGAGAATTGGAAGTTTGACTATTGTTGTATGGTTGATAACGTGATGAAGGCACTGTCTGTTTGTACTCTTGTTGATGATGAACTGATTGACCGTAATCCAGATTGTGATAATAAAGTCCTTCGTATGAAGGATAAGTTGCCGGATATGATGAGTGATGAATATCATTTGGAGGTGAAATAACTGGCGGATTTGATGAACCATATGGAGAATTTGGACCACCTGATTGATAGCTATGCGGCGTTCCTGTATCATGAGGTGGTTGTGGCGTTGGTGGATTATTATTGTCACCACCGCTCGAATCTGCAGCAGCAATTGTATTTTGATGTGGAGACATTGCTTTAATATGATGCTTGCCAATTGGCTGATTATTATTTGTTTCAGTATCAGTCGGTGTCGTCGATGATGGTGCGGAAGTTGAAATTATCGTATTTGGTGATGCACCCCAACGCGATTGATTCTCGTGTTGATAATGCATGTGTACTTGCAATGAGGTAGACGATTCAAACAATAAACCACAGTGTGTACAAGAATATGCACTATTTTGAGTTTGGGGAACCGACAACTGTTGGGTTCCCCCTGTACTAGTCATTTTATAAATAGTAAATTTTTTTACAAAATTATTTTTTACACTAATTTTTATTTTTTATAAACTTTACTGTTCCTGTGTATCTATGCACATTTCAATTGATTTTCAATAGCTATGCCCTTGAAAAAAATTTCACTAATTTTTATTTAATTTATTTCACTTTATTTTTGTAGGTCTTCAGTCGCTCATTTAATTCTTTTATCACTTAATTATTTTTTTTTCTTTTAATTTTTGACCACTCATGCAGCCAAAATTAATTAATATGTTAATTCCAATATAATTACAATTAATTAAATTATTTCTTTTACAGCTCGTAACTTTGCCGATTCCGATTTGATATTTTTTTTCTTTCTATGCTGATAAAAACGTAATATTTATTCGCGCGATAAATTCTCGTCTCTGATTTGCTTTTCGACGTGCACCAATGGGGAATTTTCGTTCAATCGCGCCGTTTTAAACAATAAAAATGATAAGAATGAAAATGTGTTGCCGAAAATAATTTTTTCTGTCGCTTAATTTTCAACCTTATTTTTTGCGGTTTAATTTTTTATTTATTTTTCTAAACCAAAACTAAATGCACTGAATTTTTATATAAATTTATATTAAAGTATATTTTTGCTTCTGTTTAATATTATTTAATACATAATATATTATTTTATATTATATTATTTTTTTGACTATCGAACAACAGAGAAATAACTTAAAAAAACGCCCGATTAGATGCGATGCAAGAATACGAATGGTCTCCAAATGGCAAAAAATAAATTTTTTCTTCTGTTGATTCTTCTACAGCGACCAGAAGAAGAAGAAAAATCTGAGACACACCAATACATACAAAATGACCAAAGAGTAATTTACTTAGTTGTAGTTGAGAAGTGGACGATACTGATTCTCCGAATTTCATATCACTCATCTTGTGCTTCTTAGTGAACAGCAAAATTTCATCCCTTTTTCTTTTTTTTTGGCTCTTACGGAGCACGAAAATGTACGAAAAATCTCTTCAAGGAAAGAGGGGAAAATTTTCATATTCACATGTCATGTAATGCTGCTTTCTATTGAGCTTTTATGCTGTGACTCGTGTTTTATGAGCATTTTTACGATTTGTTTATTATTTTTAATGTCAGAAAGTGTTTGAAGTTCTGATTAATGCCAGGTATCATTAATGGTCATTATTTTTTTTGATATTACATTTTCACCTGAACCTTAATTTACCTGGGTAGCTACCTTTAGACTATTTATAATTTTTAAAATTTTAATAGCTTTGATGCAGTAGGTTTTATATTGTTTTAAAAATTAACAACACTTTTAACTGTAGCTAGTTCTTAATAAGTATTGAAAAATCAATAGGAATGTTTATTGTTCAGTGCTAGTTCAAATCCTAAGTTCAAGTCCCAAACAAGTTTAATCGATTTTCGAGTTCTTTAAAGTCATTGATGTAATGTCATGAACAATCCTTGTTTAATCAACAATACTTAATTCAACAGCATCTGAAAGGAATCGAACTCCCGTCTTAAACAAGATTTTCGAATAGTTGATTAACCACACCGCAGAGGTCTTAAACTCACACTGGCATATCCGCCCATATAAACATAATATATTCTGAAGCTTTCATTATAGACTCTAATAAAACAATAAGTAAAAGTAGAAGTATGCTTAAAACAAGCTCAACCTTCAAAAATCAATTGAACAACATGACCAATAAAATAATCAAATCTTCAAATCTGCAAGACACAAGCACATCGTGTGAATACAAAAACAACAATCCAGCCTCCTCTCATGTAAGTTTATATTACAGCATCTTCGGAGCTTTTTATCAGAACGAGAACCGAATGCATCCTTACACACACTAATTCATTAAATATTCTGTGAATTCCTATGTAGGCGTTTAAAAGATTTTTTACTTTATTGTTATTTCTTACATATAAATGAAGCATCATTAAAGTTAAATTAAAATTAATTCAAACATCAAATTAGAGGCAAAATAAGAAGAAGAAATGAAATGTTAACATTTATGAGAAAATTTCCTTGAAATAAGAGGCAACAATGTCGATAGAACAAGAAGAACTGTTCTCTCTCATGCAACTGACCATTATGGATGCAAAAAAACTCGCTGGACTTTGGATGATGCGCATTAAAACTTTAAAATATCACCGAGAGTTTTATAATCACTTTTCGTACATGGACATATACAATACTATAAAATGTGTCGGCATGTGTTCTTATATTCTTCTTCGTAGTTGACTGTGGTCCATTCGTGCACATAATCATACAAAATGTCAAGCTTTCCGAGGATGTGTCGGAGCTTTTTGTAGCGGTATTGGTGCTCTCTCGTTGTTCCCTCTCTTTTCTTACAATTCTTTATAGCTGTGTGCGTGGTAAATCAAATAAAATTAAGTTTACATTAGTATTTGTAATATTTAAGGATCATCAGCAAGTAAAACTTTCAAAAAATTTATAAAATAAGAGGAACAGATGATATTTCTCATTCTTTAAAAACGAATTTCTTCCATCTACCATATGACGTATCATTTCTATGATTTCAATTCCATTTCGATTGATTTTTTACATGCTTGGACTGTTTTTCGAGTCAGTCGAATTTGAAAGATGAGAGACAATTGAAAAGAAGGAAAGAGAAACTTCTATATGTGCTTGATAAAATGTGTAGGTAGACCACCCGCTTGCAAATTCAAGAAGGACGAAAAAAAAAAATAAATTTAAGTAAAGATGAAGTTCTTCATGTTCTATGTCTAGAGTTTAGATTGGGCATTATCAGAAAAATAATTGGCTTGAAGACTTATAATTTAATTTTATGGAGAAAGTTTCAAGTCGTTTCGATTGGCTGAGAAGTTTCTGAAATTAATTTTTGGCTAGGTTTAGAGACTTAATCGGCATTATTTATTCAAAATTTAACGGTTAAATTATATTTAAATTTCTAAATTGACAAATATTCAAAATTTAACTTCAACTGCCAAAAAATTTCACAAAACAATTTTAAAATCTAGCAAATCTTCATTTCCTTCAAATCACCCTGTAGTATTTTCAAAAACTTTCAATTTAAATTCCTTTGTATTCGTAAAAAATCTAAAATCTGTAAAATGAGAAAGTGAGAGAGAGAGAGAGATGAGAATCCGAATATAATTGTACATATATATGAAGATATTTCATTTAATCCTTGTAAAGAAAATATCTTTTTACATTTATGGACACAAACACATGCACGAGCAACATGTAAGTATATACAATCTTGTTATTTTCTAATATATTGTTTTCTGTAAAGTCTTTGGCATAAGCAAAAATTGTATATTAAAAGTAGTTTAAAATAAATAAAGATTCTATCGCATGGCTTTTATGGATAGTTACGAATGAAATGTTTATTCATGTGTGTGTATTTGTATGTACATTCATGTATGTTTAGGACGGGTTTGAAAATTTATATATTTTTTTGAAAGTAAGTTTTGAAAATTTTTCATGAAATAGTATAACAATAACATCATTAATATGTGCTACATGTGAAACCCTTTCCTTCTTTCATTATTTTGCAGTAGATTGCTTTTCATATGTACAGAAAATTTTCATTACGTGATTTTAAGTCAGCAAGACGAGAGGATGGATAGGACATACAAAAAAGGGGGAAGAGAATCTTCTTGTTATAAATTACAACAACATAAAATGCATGTTCTAAAGGTATTCACTTCAGGATATAATAATGTACGTACAAGAATATTTTCTTCTACATTTGATTGGATTGGAAGCACGCCTGACCTCTTGACCACTCTGATTTAATACTGTTGAAACATTTTTTATGATTATTATTATTTTAGTAAGTAAGTTGAAACAAGTTTTTTTTTACTTTTTTTATAAATCCCGATGGCGAACTTCTTCCCTTACATATCATCTCCTCCTTTAAAATTTACTTCAGGGTTAGTCCTTGATTATTATTTTTTCAAGCTCCTGCCTAACTCGCCAGATATTCGATTCTCTCATGCTTACGAATCCTTTTTTGATTAAATTTTAATTAAAATGAGTAGATAGAGACCAGTACTTTGTAGCCAGTTACTAACGGTTTTTCTTCGTCCTGTTCTTGTGTGAGTTCATTTCAGTAGAGCTTCTTCAAAACATTATTGCTCAAGGAATTAAATGGTCAGATATAGCAGCAACAACATCAGCAAAAAAAAGTTTAAAATTTAATTGAGCAGACTAATTTTTCGTATACATGCACACAAAGCAGAAGGAGAGCTGAGTAGAAAAAGGATAAGAATGGGGTTCAGAAACGACCATCGAGTTTTCATTCGTTTTTCTAATAATTTTTGTTATATCTTCCCCAAACTTGAATAAAACTTTTTTTTTTTTTTGGTTTAAAAACTTCTCTGTGCTGCTATGTATGTATGTTTATATTTAATGGGTGGAGCACAATAATTAAATTAAACTTTTTCTTTGCATACAAATTAAGGTCACTTTTGGGAATATTTTAATTCATTTAAAGATGAGTTGAGATGTAAATTTTATGAGATTCTCATTACATGAAAGGACTTTAAGAATTGAAAATTATGATAAAGTTTTATTTTTTGTGTGGATCTGCTGAGGTCTTTGTTTATTTGTCTTAATTGAATTAGGTGAGTTTGAACTTTTGTGTTTGTAATTTTGCAGTTTTGAGTTGTTCTGATTTTATTTCTGAGTTTTGGATATGAACATGAATGATTTGTAGAAATTTCCCGCCAAAATTTGAATCAATTGATAGTATTGAACTTTGTAATGTTAAATTAGACTTGAATCAATGTTCTAAATCATATTTAGACTAAAATGTCAATGAAGAAACAAAGTCTATAGAGCCGAGTGGCTACACAACATACTGATCCACAGTGCTCTATACTATATTATATGTCTTATTGTTATGCAACAATTCACAAATTTACAAAAAATTCAATTCTACACAAGAATCAAAAAATAAAACTTCTTCTCAAACCACATCGCTCATAAAATAAATGAGTTAAGTCACGAAAAGTAAGAACAAAACTAAAGTTATTTATTTCAGAATTAAAATCTTCTTACAAAATTTTGCATTTTCGAGTTTTTTAAAATCACACAAAACTGTTAATTATTATTATTTTCTCATTCTTCTTCTTAATGTCATGAAATTAAATTTATTAACCACTGGAAGAGCGTTACATATTGAAAATCTACGCTACACATATGTATGAAGCCATCGGACGACTTAAAATATTCATATAGTAACAATAAACACATAACTCTCCTTACTGAATTAATTAACTACTAAGAGAATTTTTTCGATCTCTTCTTCTTTTCCCTATCGTTTCGATCGCTACATCACAAGCAAATAAATAAAGCCAGCAGCCAGTTCGAATGATAAATTTTTAAGAGAAAAAAATGTAACAAAACGAACAAAACAAAAAAATATTTGAATATATAAATTCTGGCTTTTAATTAATTTTCTCTTAGTCTCGACTGAATTAGTTTGATTAGAAATTGAGTTTTGGAATTGATGAAGCGCATTTTGGTGTGATTTGATGATTAAGAGGTTTGGAATTCACAGAAAATCAAAGTTAAAGGTTTTGAGGTCGATATATTGAAGAATTGTTTCGCAACTGTCTAAAATAGTTTGAAA